GACACAGTCTTACATCTCAGAGAAGGCAATTCGTAAGTTGCATCTGGGAGTGAAAGTAAGAGACTTACCTAGACCTATCAGGTCTATGCTGGCTGACAAGAGCACAATCACTGTCTCTCAATATGTTGATCGTGTTAAATGCCATTTTATGATTAAGGAAGGAAAAAAGATCTTACACGAAGTATCCTTCCTGATTGAAAAAAACCTACCTTTTGACATGATTCTGGGAATGGATAAGCACGAGGAAGCCGACCCTGAAGTCATGTTCAAAGAGAAAATTGTAAAGTTAAACGACGAAAAGTCCGAATTTAGAGCAATTAACTTGTATCACAAGTCTGGCTCTGACTCGTCACTGTCTTTCTGTTGTATGAGTTATCCAACCTTCAGATCTATGGTCTCAAAGAAGAAGTTGGATCAGGATGTGATGATGGTACTCGTTAAACGAGTAGGAGAATGTTCCTCATCCTACCACCCTTCTATTGAAAAATTACTTGATGAGTATAAGGACTTGCAGACTGAGCCAACGGGAATCATGGAGCGTGCTATCAAGCACACGATTGAAATTATTCCCGGTAGTAAGATTCCCAAGGGTCCCATCTATCGTATGTTTCCTATGAAACTTTGAGAATTAAAGAAAGAGTTGCAAGAACTAACTGAAAAAGGATGGATTCGCCCTAGCTCATCTCCTTATGGTGCTCCTGTCTTATTTGTACCCAAAAAGGAAGGCGAACTTAGATTATGCATTGATTATCGTGGGCTGAATGCCGTCACTATCAAGAACGCAGAACCACCTCCACGCATTGGCGACTTGTTGGACCAATTGCAAGGATGCACGTCCATTAGTAAGATTTATCTAAAGTCAGGGTACCACCAGATTGAGGTGGCTCTCGAGGATTAACACAAAACAATATTCCGAACCAGGTATGGTCACTACGAGTTCGTGGTTATGCCTTTCAGGTTGACTAATACTCCTCCTACCTTTCAAAGGTCTATGAATGAATTATTTCGTCAATGCTGGATCATTTCGTAGTTGTTTTTCTCGATGATATCCTCGTGTATAGCAAGACACTTGAGGATCACGAGTAACACCTACGAATGGTTCAACAGAAATTGCGCGAAGACAACTTCAAACTAAATCCTACGAAGTCTGAGTTCGCTAAGCTTGAAGTGCTATACTTAGGGCATATAGTGAACGAAGAAGGACTAAGGCCCGAAGAGAAGAAGATAACAACAATTCAAGATTGACCCCAAGCTAAGACTGCCACTGAACTCAGGTCTTTCCTAAGACTCGCTAGTTATTATAGAAAGTTTGTAAGAAACTTCTCCTTAATAGCTGCACCTATGAGAAAACTAATGAAGAAAAAAAAAACCTTGGTTGTGGGACAAAGATTGTGAGTCCTCGTTTAAGAAGTTGAAATATCTATTGACTCACTACCCTGTTTTAAAAATTGCTGATCCTTCTCCCTATCATTGTCACGACTGACACAAGTCAGTATGAAATTGAGGTTGTGTTACAACACGACGATGGCAAACGATATAGACCTATCGAGTTTATGTCCAGAAGACTGCCATCTGAAAAAGTGGCCAACTCCACTTATGAAAGGGAATTGTATGGCTTGGTTGCTGCACTGGACACCTGGAAACACTACTTGTTAGGGAGACACTTCACTGTTTATTCAGACCACTCTACCCTGCAGTGGATTAAGACCCAACCTAGACTTTTTGACAAGTTAGTGAGATGGCCCGCTTTCATAAACACATTGCACTTTGAACTAAAAATGATCAAAGGAAGGTCTAATGTGGTTGCGGATGCTTTGTCCAGGCGTGCTGAACTATTGTCTCCTTTCTCGATGTTGGGAATGAATTGAAAGAGTAAATCCGTAAGGGTTATGCAGACGATCCTATATGGAGTCCTGCTATTGGAACCCTACAAAGGAACCCTGAACTCTTTCCTGAATATCGAATGACTGATGGTTTACTCTTCTTTATCGACACGAGCGAAGAACGACTTTGTACTCCTCATAAAGAACACATAAAAGTCTAATTATTGGGGAATGCCACGATACTGAGGGGCCCTTCGGTTTCAAGAAGACGTATGCCGATGTGAGAGAACAATTTGAATGGAAAGGAATGAAGGAGGATATGCTAAACTATGTGCGGACTTGTCTTGTTTGCCAAAGGAATAAGCCCTCGCATGAAAATCCCCTGGGACTATTGAGACCGCTACCTATTCCAAATGAGCCAGGTGAGTCTATCTCCATTGATTTCACGAGTCTCACTAAGAGCCGAAACGGCAACAGTCAGGTAATGGTCATTGTAGATTGATTATCAAAATATGCTATGTGCATTCCTTTACCTGCTGAAGCTGAAACTGAACTAGTCATCCAAAAGTTTCAGATGCGATGGGTTTCAAAATATGATTTCCCAAAGGTCATCGTTTTCGATAGGGATGTACGGTTCACTGGATCACAATCGCAAAAGTTGATGAAAATCTATGGCACTAGGTTGACAATGTCGTCAGGTAGACACCCTGAAACGAATGGCCAAACAGAGCAAATGAATCATCTATGCCAACAACTTTTGCGCATGTATGTACGACCTGATCAGATAGATTGGGATGAGAACTTACGTAAAATTGCAAGTGCATATAATAATAGTATACATACTGTTACAGGGAGAACACCGAATGCCTTGCATAAAGGTTGGAAACCTCGGCATCCCATTGATGCTCTAACCCAGGACCAGATTCAGAGGTTACCCCTAGATACTCGAAAATTCACAGTTTTACACGAGGAAGACATAAAAAAAGTTAAAGAAAATATACAGAAAGCCTAACTACAAATAATTGAATAGGTCAACAAGCATCGTCGGCCTTCTCAGCTCCAAGAGTCTAAAGAGTTTTCCTTGGAAGAGAATGTGTCTCAAAAACTGTTGCTTGTCTACTACGGACCCTGGGAAGTTCTCAAGGTGATTGGGGATGCAGATGGACCTTCTTACCGAATTGATGTACCTCCACACCTTAGAACCTATCCTGTCTTTCATGTGTCTAAACTCTTGCCATATGTAGAAGGAAATGAGTTTCCTAACATACCATCTATGTTCCCACCCTCCATGAATGGAGGCTACAAAGTTGAAAAGATTATGGAACATGGCTACTTCTCTACAGGTGACAGAGGAAGACCGCAGAAGCAGTATGAGGTAAAGTTCAAGTCTCAACCCCCAACTGAAGCTAGATGGTTCAGTAAGAAAGAACTCTTACCTACTGCTCTTGACATTGTTTCTGCATACGAACGTGGCTTAAGAGAAAATTAATGTATTTCTGCGATGGAACTCGAAATTTGGGCTGGTAGGAATGCAGTGACCCGCTTCATATGCCTCGTTGAATATCTAAGGGCCTTGCCAGGCCACAACCCGGCCTCAGGCCGAAGGGGCAAAGACCCCTCCGAGGTGGTGCCAGGGCCTGAGTGCCCGACATTTGACTTCAGTCAACTGCCTGCGGCCCAACAGTCAAAGTCAATATGGACCCAGCCCAGGCCACCGGTCAGACACACACACTTGTTTGTATGCAGGTACCAAGACAGCATTCGGACCAAGTGGAAGTCTGCAACTGTACGTGATCCAGGCCTTCGGCTGTGAGTCAATCTGAGCCGCCGTGGGTGTGATACCTGAGGCTCGTCAGCCTCGTCAAACATTACATAAGGCCTGGCCTCGAGGGAGTCAACATTCAGTCTTGCTATGCTGCCTTGACGCTGGCTTGACGCTAGCTGGACGCTGGCTTGACACTAGTGCTGGCTGGACGCTGGCACTGTGGACGACGACGCAAGACTGCTGCTTGCTTGCATGCTGGCGCTTGCCAGCCTCTGCTGACGTGGCGCAAGGCCATGCTGTCTTCGACATTGCTGATGTGGCACATGCCACTCTGTCTTCATTGCTGACGTGGCATTTGCCACATTGTCTACATTGCTGAGTTGGACACGACAAGGAGGGAGATCGGGATCTGTGGATGATTGAGAGGGAATGGGATACTTACCTGCGGGTGTTGTTGATACTGTGCGCTGCTGATTGTGTCCAACGTCTTCGCGAGAGAACTGTGCCACGTGGCACTTCGATGTGATCAGGATCTGTCAGGCTCGTTACTGGATACTGTTTTGCTGACGTGGAGGAGAGGGGAAGCCCGGAGAAGGAGTGGGAAATGTTGGGCTACTCTCTTTGTGGTCATTGGTGGTTACTATCTGTTCCACCTTCTATTCTGTCTATCCCCCCTCCACTCTTTTCGTCTAACTGGAAACGAGACATTGTATCAGAGATCACATTTATTATTATGGGAGACATTGTTCAGAGTCGAGTTACTTTGTATTTCGACATCTGGCAAGTATCTTACAGACTGGGTTCATTACATATTTGCTTGACATTGCACATTGGCATCTGGAGTTACCTCTCTTCCTTAATGCTTGCTTGTGCATTTTGAGTGCCGTGATATTCTTTTCATCTCATGCTTCTTCAATAATTCCTTTTTCCCGTTTCTCGATTTATGCGTGTCATCCTTGTGCAGGCGCATATGCTTTACCAACTTTACCCCGATGTTCGTTTTCTTTTTTTCTTTTCTTTTTCCCCTTCCTCCTCCAAATGTAAGAGGCTAAAGTAACCCTTCAACCAATGGGGTGCTTTGCTCTTTCTTTTTGCTTTCTTATTTTAAAATTTTAAACCAGATTGTGTTTGTTTTTCTCCCTTTCCTTTTGACTGACTGACTGCATGTAATTATGACAGGCGAGGCTGGGGAATGGATATCTAGGGTCTGGGTGGGCCAATCCCAATCCCAATCCCAATCACAACCCCGATTGTCGTGCACAGGGGTGTTTTGCAATTTACTCTGCCCTCATTAGTATCTCTTTTTTGATGCTGGTTTGATTACAAATTAAATTTAATGAACTAAAGGTCTAAAATAGTAAAATTATAGAGTAGTTAAGAAGCTGACCTGACACAATTGTTTTGCTTGTCAGTATCAGCAGGGTTGGCGAAGTCTGCAGCAATCTTAATATCTAGCAACCAAAACTATGTTTCACGGAATAATGATAGGTGCGTATGTCTGATCTGTGTCGCCGATCCTCGTACCGGACCATGTACATACGACAACATCATTTCTTTTTCTTTCTTTTCTTTCTTTTTTTCACAAATCTGAGCCATTTGTCTCTTGATTTCTGCATGCATGCATGCATGTAGGGGGCAGGGCATCATCAATGGGCGGGGGAGCAATTGCTATGTATCACGGTTTTTGACAAGACAACCTGACATGAAGTAGAGAGGTTGGCTGTAGAAAAAAAAAGGGGGGGGGGAAGGGGGGGGGGAGGGGGGGGTAGGGAGGAGGGGAGAGATGGAAGAAGGACAGAGGAGAATCAGAATGGTAGAGAAAAGATGTCCAAGGTATCATTCATCAAGCAAGAAATCAGGAAATTATTGTGAACTATGAAGTAATATGAACGCATAAAAGCAGCTGCAGCGTCTCCCCCCCCCGCTCCCGCCTTTTTGAAAGAAAAAAGGACGATCCCATTTGTGTGTCTCCATCCTTGAATGCTCAGGGGCCATGCTAATCTTCTCTGCGTGGAACTGCTTGTTCCTATTGTGACGGACGTCCTGAAGGTCACAGCAGGTCGGGGAAGCTTTTTCAAAACTACCGGTAGTCCTTTGGAGACTCCTTCCCAAGAATGATGACTGGAACCCTAGAAAAGAAATAAAAAGGCAGTTTTGTGGGGCAGGGAGGTTAGTGAAAGGAAGAGGCGGTGACCATGAATTGAATGAATAAATAACATACGTAAAGTAAAATAATTTAAATAAATGAATTGCGAGCAACCGCCCAGGAGAAACTCAATTCACAAGTACCATGAAGTCTCCCTCTTTACCCACATGCCGCATGGCAGCAAGGCGATTAGCAGGATTGACAAAGCAACAATCACACGAGCACAAGAATTCCCACTGTTGAAGAAAGCCCCCTTGACTTGTGCCATAGATGAGCCTGCACTGCTGGAAAGTCTATTTAAACTCTATTATTATCCGTTGGAAAGTTCTTATTTTCTTCGGGCATTTTCTTTCGTTCAAATTCTTTGCGTATTTAGGTGCAGAAGCTGAGGGGAATTGCCGGCGTGCCATACTTTTTTTCGGTGAGAAGCCGAGCACTTTGTTCCGTCTCTCTAGACAGAATTCGTTACAACTGAGTGCAAGGCAGAATGTGCTGCAACTGAGCGCAAGGCAGATCATGATGCATCTGAGCACGAGGCAGAGGGTGCTGTAACTGAGTGCACGGCAGAATGTGTTGCAACTGAGCGCAAGGCAGAATGTGTCGCAGCTGAGCGCAAAGCAGAATGTGGCATTCACAGCCCCACATGGGTCCGGATAGGGCCCGACCAGTAGGATTAGGGGCTGTTCCGGGGCCTACGGGTGTAGGGTTAGGGGAGGATCCAGTTTAGACCCAGGGGTGTTTGAAGGTCTGGCTTAGGACCTGCGACAGTTGACAGGCCGGTTAGGCCCAGGATTAGTAGTCCAGACCCTGGTTCAGTTCGTTTTGACGCCAGGACCCTGGACGACGTTTCAGTTAGACGTCAGGCCGTTTTAGGCCCAGTCGCAGTTTTGGCGCCAAGAACATTTCAGCGCTATATATAGCTGGTCTGCCTAGTAGTCGGTAGGTAGTTCGGTAGAGAGGCAGTAGTCGACGTGCTGGGTGCAGTTAGTGTTAGTACTACAGTGCTGGGAGCGAGGTTAGAGTTAGAGCACTGCAGCTGAGCTGCAGCCGGAGAGAGAGAGAGAGAGAGAGAGAGAGAGAGAGAGAGAGAGAGAGAGAGAGAGAGAGAGAGAGAGAGAGGATTTCTTCTTCCTCTTCTTCTTTCTCATCCTGTCCTGCATCG